AAAACCCCCCCCCCCCCCCCCCCCCAAAATGTTTCACAGGTACGCCACTGAAGGATTTTCAAAAACCGAGTCCCCAATCCGACGAGTCCGTCGCCGATGCCGCGGCGTCGTCGCGATTTCGACGGTTTTTGCGACTTTTTCGAACAGAGTCGCGTTTCGCTTCGTCCCGAGACTTTTCACCTCCCCGCCGAATACGTATTCGTGTTCCCCGCTAAATTTATAGTCGTTTCAAAAACGAGTCCCGAGGAGTAGGTACATTATGAGTATCGCTACTATATACATTATACAGGCATAAATACAATTTAAGTTCAATTTTTTTCGCGAATCTCACCGATTTGAACTCCGAAGCCGGTCGAGACGGTCGTCCGCTTCCCGACGCGGTCGATCCCCCCACTAACCTTCGGGGGACGCGGACGCCGTTTCGGGTGGACGGCGACGCGGTTTAACAGTCGTAGATTTGACACCAGTTGTCATCTCGATAGGCGGTTAGGTAGGTGTAGGCATAGGACAACCATCTCGGGGTCGTAGGTTCGTTCCCGTCCCCTGGCGGTATCGATAATTCGCGGCGGCCGTGATAATTCGAATTTTTTTTTCGCGTTTTTTTTTTCGTTTTTTCGCCATCGGTTCCGTCTTATCATTTTTAACGAATTTGCTCCGATTTTTTTTCAAAATTCAAGTTTTACCGCCTTTATCATGCACCTCCCCGTCCAAGACTTATTCGCGTTACCTTAATAGGTAATAGGTACATGTATATATATTTAATTATGTATTTAATTATGGCAGTTTATTATTATGACTAAACTATACTAATTAAACTATTTAATAAGTAATACTTGCTTTTATCTACACATTTACCACAACCAACGCGCCTAGATGTATCTTTTATAGGTACTTGATTGAATAGAAAATAGTAAAAGTACAATATAACTAACCTTATATTACATTTTATTGCATTTCATCATTATTTTACATTTTACAAGCATATTATGTATGTACATGAATTAATAGTGAAATTAGTACATATTTTGGTCCATTGGTCTAAAAGTTTAAGCTAAGTACTATTTACTGTTTATATTTTTGGTATTGGTATACCTACCTACCATATAAAATATGTTTTTTTGTAACAGTTTGCATTGTGTGTAAACAGTAGATCTAATAGAACTGATTGAATTCTGGCAGTTAAATTGTACAATACATAATATACGATGTAGTAGGTACTTGGTATATTACGGTTTTTAGGTGAGTCAAATAATGTAAACGCAGTTCTGTGGTTTGATCTATTATAAACGACGTTCGATTGTGTCTGTATGTACTGTACATACCTACATAATTATGTACATATAATAATAATACACAATAATATGCTTGAGACGTACGATTATTTATGGGCGTCAGACGGTTAATAATAACGAACGTCTCTTCAATATCAACGAAACACACAATGCTACAGTATGACCATTAATTATTATCAATTGATTCGGGTGGGTTGGGGAGTGATGACGTGCGGGGGACAACTTTTGCGACGCGAAACGCGCCCGCGTTATCCGTTGTCTCTTTGTCATATTTTGACAGCCTAGAAGGTTTTATAATGTTGATCCTGGGTTGTTTTGAGTTTGAATTGTAAGAACCAGCGCAGGAAGCGAGTTTGATCCCACCGGGCTAATGTATTATGTACTTTAATAGGCTTTTGCCAAGACAATTCTCACTTATAGCTGCCCACCAATGTGTCCGCATACCTGACATGCCGCGTCCCACATTGTCCGTTATCCGACATAGTCGGATTGCCGACCTAGATGACTAAGTTAAACGTGAATCGATTTCCAATGGACGTGACTGACTTGCTGGACATTGAAATAAATCTTTAAGATTTACGATTTTTGACTTTCATAAAATCACAAGACTGGACCGTCTAAACTATCAAGTCCTGATATCGGTATTCACCTTCAGCGAATAGCACAGAGGCCTTCATTACTGACGGAGCGAGTTACACCGAGAGACCAATGCAGGCAGGCCCATATCGTCGGCAATGCAACGCAGCCGGATGGCTTACTTAGATGTCTGAATTTTATTTTAATCGATTTTCACCTTGACGTGAC